ATCTCTTCCCATTCGTCCATTCCTATCGTTCTTCCGATATTTCTGGCCCAATTCACCATACATTCTTTTACCGCTTCCTCTTCAGTGTCCCATTTCAACAATTCTCTCTATATTTTGGAGATTTTTTTCCTTTGTGTGTCCCAGATTCTGTCCCAGATGTTTTCTTTTGTCTCGAATCCAATTTTTTTATCTTTCCCGAAAAAATCTTGTATCTGCTTGTACTGTAGCCAGGTCATATTTCTATACACTGTTTTGAGTTCTGTTAGGGGTTTCAAATGTGTCTCTTTGTTTGTCTCCCTCGTTAATTCCTTGTAATTTGGCCAATTAATCCATCCAATTTCTTTTCTTTGACAAGACTCTAGGGGGGATACCCACTTTGGTATCTTATTGTACATTCTTTTCTTGTATTTGTTCCATGTTTTTATTATTGCAGCTCTTATAAAATGGTTACCGAAATTTTTCTCTAATTTTGTTTTCTCGTACCAAATATACGCGTGCCATCCTCTGCGTAGATCGAAGCTTTCTAGATTTAATATTTTTTCCTTTTTCAACTGTATCCAATCCGATATCCATGCAAGGGCACCTGCTTCTGCGTATAATCCTAAATTTGGTAGTGATAATCCTCCCCTCTCTTTATCGTCTGTCAAATTTTTGAAGCTTATCCTAGGTTTTTTTCCTTGCCAGATGAATTTCTTTATATCCCTATTCCATTCTTTTAGTCCCTTTTGGTTCCTGATTATCGGCAGATTTTGAAATAAAAATAACATTCTTGGTAGCACATTCATTTTAATACAGGATATTCGTTTCATTTTTTAGTTGCTCCTGAATGGTTCAATATTGCTTCGTTATCAAAAAAAATAACGAATTAATAACGAATTACTAAATTAACGAACGAAACCGCCCAGCCCTAGCAGACAGCCTAAATCAGTGCCTGAATAGTAAGCGAACACATGCATTAAACCTATTGATTCAATGGGTCTGTTCTAGTTAGGACTAGCAATTGAATGTAGATAGACAGAAGTTTGTGTTTGTTGCCAATACAAAAGTGTTTCTTTTTTTTTCTAAATCGAACACTCCAGACTTTTATTTTTTGCTGCGACTATCATCAGATGGTCCTTTACCCCTAAACCTGAAGGACTCCGTCTCTCAGGGTTCTTTTGGGGCCAGAACTGTTATTTATTTATTTATTTATTTATTTACTATATTTATATACTGCCCCTCTCAGCCCTCAGGCGACTGAGAGGGCGGGAACATAAATATAGTAAATCTTGAGATACATACCATGAGCATAGCTATTCTGCACAGCTATAGTAGTTTCCTGTTAAATAATGCTTTTTCCCTGAACTCCAACACTAGAGGTCTCCAACAAAGAATTCTACTTATCTTCCCAACTACAAATCCCAAGAATCCAAAGGATGGAGCCATCACAGTTATAACTGTTCAGTGCAGTAGACACTCTCTGTCTTATCTCCAACCTTCTAGCTCTTCTACAGCTATTTGAACTTTTGAAAGTAATAAACAATGGATCACAGGGTTCAGGTGAAGACATGTTCCTAATCTGTTTTAACTACTTATATATTTTAATATACTGTTGTCTGCCATGTCACCTAAAATGTTTTTCTCATTCATAAAGCTCACCTGCCTATAAGAAACTTTAGATGTTAAAGAACAAAATTCTCCACATAAGTGTCAGTCTCCTGTGGAGTTTATGCATATGCATTTTGTTTTGTTTGTTTAGTTTTTTTGTTTGCTTCCACTTTGCTGTTTGCTTTATTTATAGAGACTTCAGCCTGAAAGCTGTTAAAAGTAATAAACCTTGTCTTTTTGAAGAATACAGTTCCATAATTTAATCATGCCTGAAGGCGGCAAACACACAGGCAAATAATTGTGTTCGTGTCATTCAAGTGTAAAATTGCGAGCATGGCTTGAAATCTAATCTGAACAAACTGCTAAAGGTTAGTCCAGTTTTGGACAACTACAATTTAATTTCTCACTCCCCGACAAGTAGAGCTTAATGAAGTGTCCCGGAATCAGAAAGTCTGATCACATCCTAGTTGTTATCTTTCACATTGTCTTTTTACCAGTTCAGAGGTATATTGGTATTCCAGCAGTTCTGCAAGACAGGCATCTGTGTTATTGTTACCTACAGTGAGCAGATATATTATTTAACACTGTGGTAACTGTAGCTAAAGAGATAAGAACAATAATGTAACCCAAGCCACTGCTGTTCAACATGAAATAAAAATCTAACAAATATTTTGGTATTTTTGTACCAACATGTTCCAAATAATGTATCTTAGTAGGGGGTTAGAATAATCTTTAACTAGAGATAAAAAGTATACATGCGGCATCGAATCATGCCTTTTTGTAAGCTGCTCTGAGTCCTCTTTGGGGTGAGAAGGGTGTGGTATAAATACAGTAAATAAAATAAACAAACAAACAAATAAATAAATAAATAATGGTGCATCAAATAGATTTATGCTACATGAAATGAAATGTCAGCTGGTTCACAAAGAAGCTTTTTGAAGGTAAGAACAATTACCAGGAAGAGGAGTAGGCAACTCTCAGAAGTTTAGGAGCTGCACCTACACCAGAAAATCCTAGGGACATGCTTCCTCTGACATTCTCACACCTCTCTTTATTAAAAATAATTACTACTTTGTTACTACAGTTACAGACTGAGGAAAACAATGGGAATTTCACCCCATTCCCCACTTCTGCCTTTTTCAGACCCGAGAGGGACTTGTTATACTGGAAAGAACTGGATGACCAGTTCTGGTCTTTAGCCATAAAACAGACCAAATGAAAACTTTTAACATGTCCTGAAAGAATGCTATTGCCTGGTTTTAGCTTCTTTTCAAGAGGTGGGAGTGCCAAAAGACCTGTGACTTTCTGCTTCACTCTTGTGGACTACCACTTGCGAAATTCCTCAAGGAGAGGTTTTCTCTCTGAATTTCC